AACATTCTCATTCAGATAATGAATTATCAAGTATGTGAGCTGCTTAGAAAATCTTAACTATAAGTCAGCCTTCTATATTCTAGGTGTGCACTTACAAAACCCTGCAAAACTTTTAATAAGGTTTACCATTGACAAAAAATGTTCAAACTCTACCCTGTTCTCCTTTTGCAAATCTTGTTTATCCACCTCTATTTCACATCTATTACAGGCATCATTGTCTTCCTATTATAATGAAAATAAAATCTAGGGATCTTTGGCTCATCCTTATTTTTTGTTTCCTATTCCTTCATCTTCTCATTCTATGACACACATACACACTAATTAAGTCACCAAGTTTATCCATTTTTTTTTCCCAAAGTGGTCCTTACTTTGAATTTAGCTTTTATATAACAACTGTGTAACTCTAACCTTCAGAGTTATCTTTTTACACACAAAGGCTTCCAAAGTTTGTTCTCAACTTAATTATACAATGTGTTTGTTACTCTTTGCCTCAAAGTCAGCTTATGCTTTTCTGGATCACGTCAAAATCTCTTATTCTCTAACCGTTTTCTTGCCTTTATCTCAGGAATTAGCTTTTCTTTTGCCTGTTGAATTCTTGCATACATCTGTTTAATCTCATTTAGTGATCTTCTAAAGCACACATGATATACTGCAAGTTCTGCATAATAGTTTTAAAACTACTTAGCAAGTTATTTTCAAAGTTATGTATTTTACAGCAATATCATTTTGCTTTCAAAGATGCCTTACACAGAGCCATATACATATATGTATACAAATAAAAACACATATGTGTGTATGATATACATCTGTATTTTACTGCATCAATTGATTTTATGAGTTCAAATTGATAAAATTAACTTAAAAAGCCAATAATGAGAAGACTAATAAAAACTAAATTGGAAATTTGTGATTATAAATAACAGATACAGTTTGATATTTCATTTTTGATTTACTATTACTTTTAAAATATAAATAGCCCTTATAAATTACTTATTTCTTTATATGTAGTATTAAACTGTACATTTTTATTATTTATTTTGAAACTTCAGGCAAATTTGACAATAAATAGAAATAGCAGAAAAAAATTAGACTAATAACAGCTCCATGGAACCAAATAAGAAACAGAATTTAAATTATTGGTGGACTTCATTGTGTGAAAATTTACTATATAACGTGCTTGAGATCATTTTCTAAAGTATTTCTTTCTACAATATGTTTAGATTTGCAGAACTATTTTGCAGAAGGTAGTATGGATTTAGAAGAAGGTCATACACTCCCCATTTAATTTCCCGATTATCAACATCTTACATTGGTATGGGACATTTGTTGCAATTACTGAACCAACATTGATACGTAATTATTAGCTAAAGTTCCTACTTTACTCATTTTTTAATTTTAAAAGAGTTAAAGTATGTGACTAAAATTTGAATAAAATAGAATTATCAGAACACCTCCCTGAATCATTTGATTTCTGTGGAATAGAGCAAAAATCAGCAACCTTTCTGTTTTGGTCTCATGGACATATTGTCTATCACCCTAAGCCACCATCCCTTTTCAAATTATATTTTTCAACGAAGAATTATTTTGTTTTTAATTCCTTAAGTAAATTGCATTGTTTACACCCCATTTCTGTACCGATTCTCTGTTTGGATAGTCTCTTTCTCTTATTATTCAGCTAGTGAATTTTGATTACTCCCCTAAAATCTAGGGTGGAAGCCATCTATCCTGTGGTTTCATTCCTAAAGCTGCTAATAATCAGTTTATGATGGTTTTAGTATTAACCGTTTTTGTCAAAGTGAATACCCAAATTTCCAATGTATCTGGGTTGATTTATCACTTCATTTTCCATTTGACTAAATTGAATACAATTTTGTTTCCTTTTAATAAACACAGCATACAGATTTTGAGAAAAGTTCACAATTTTATAAAATTTTATAAAAGAAAAATGTTACAAAGGGAAATTTTATAAAATTTGATAAAGCAAGGTCTTTCTTGAAGTGTGTGTGTGTGTGTGTGTGTGTGTGTGTGTGTATATGTGTGTGTGTGTGTGTGTGTAGGATCTTTCCCTTTAAATATCTATATTCTCACACACACACGTTTTTCTTCTGGGGTCAAATAAATACAAATAAACTGAATTTAAGCATTGCAACCAAAAGGCTTGTTTTATGTAATTATTTTAAGCTTTATAATTTAATATTATTATAAGCATTGTAATTAAAAATAATTGGATGGGGGGATTGAGTAAAATAATACTGGTAATATAAATTTTGTGAATTCAATATAATATATTTAGCAATGTTATCATGAAAGGTGATAATATCCAATGGATCAGTGCTGATTATTTTAAATATGTCTCTTCGTGATTTAAATTGCTGGTAGTTTAATGCTCTTTAATATTACCAGTAGAGAAAAGAGAGAGAGCGTAACAGATTTGATTTTGTCCTTTTGCTTTTTACTACTTGTAAAGAAGAAAGCTTACAGAATGCTAGGTGAGGCTTTTCTGTAGGACTAATTACCCTGTTAAATCTCTCTGTGTTTTGAATGAGTAATGAAAGTATGATGAAATTATTATATACCAATTTATTAAGTGACATATATCCTGTCTCTATGTTATTGTCAATTGAAATTTTAACCCTCCAATTGATCCTCATCTAGTTGTGAGTAGACTTGAAACAGAAAAAGGATTATTAAACTGATTAGTAATTATTATTTTTTATAATAGCAACAATCATTGACGTTTGTGTAGTGTCTAAGATTTACTGGTTTCTTATTCATCATCTCATTTAATTGTGACAGAAATCTATTTCTGTTGGAACTAGAAACATTATCTTCATTTACAGTTGAGGAAGCTGAAAGTCAGAGTGATTAGGAAGCTTAACTAAGATTATACAACCATTTATGTTTCAGGAGAAAACTAAAACTCGAATTCCACTGGAACTCTGGACTAACTTGTAGAAACAAATTCAGTTTTATTCTTTTTCAGGGGATGTCTGGGATTAGGGATCCACAGATGAAAAGACATATGGTTCCTTCTAGTAAATACTTATATTGTAAGAACTGAATCCCAGTCCTCTTTTTTTTTCCTCCTTCTCTGACTAGTAAGGAGGCTTAAGGGCAGTGTGGTACCAAAATGTTGGCTATAAGAGGAGATTTTAAAATAAACACAATTGGGGGACATGAATTTTGGAAGCAAGTTTTACACGAATCATGGTAATTAATCTATTAAGAACATATCTGACACTGAACCAAGACAGTGTGAGCAAGAAAGTGAGTATGAGACAAGCTTGACATAGATTTGGCAAGAATTTTAACAATAGTTAAGAAATTGTTGGATGCTGGGGCCGGGCACGATGGTTTATGCCTGTAATCCCAGCACTTTGGGAGGCTGAGACAGTTGGATCATTTGACGTCAGCAGTTCAAGACCAGCATGCTAAAAATACAAAAATTAGCCAGGTGTGGTGGCTTGTGCCTGTAATCCCAGCTACTCTGGAGGCTGAGGCAGGAGAATCCCTTGACCCAAGAGGCAGAGGTTGCCGTGAGGCGAGATCACGCTGCTGCACTCCAGTCTAGGATACAGAGCAAGGCTCAGTCTCAAAAAAAAAAAAAAAAAAAAGGAATTGAGGAATTGTTCTATACTGGAAATAAAGTGTGGGGTATGAGGAATAAAAGTTCCACTTTGTCAGCAGAAGCTTTCTTATCACAACTCTCCATTCTCATTGATGACATCCTGGCCTAAGTTTAAGCCTTGATTTCTCTACCTATAAATACTACAAGTCAGAGGTAGACACCTATTTTCATTGGATCATCTACAGAGGTAGAATTCTTATATCAGTAAATTCAGGAGAACATTAAACGGTCACCAAGGCATTATAAAGAGTTGGACAATTAAGGAGGGGAATAAAACAAAAAGAAAAACATGTCAGAAAAGAAAAGTTGTTGTTACATTAAATGGCGCACAGTATTTGAGCCTAATTACGAATATTCCACTCCCAACTGTCCTGGCAACAGGAATCCTTTCTTTCAGTGAACACCTTAAAATGTGAACGCCACGGGCAGTGCTATACGGAGCAGTTAGAGTAGTCTGGCTTGTCTCATCTTGGAAGGGTCTGGAAGAGCTGGGAAATTATTGTATTTCAGACAAAGACTAAGGGAAGAAACTGGACAAGTTCAAGGTGCAAAAAAAAAAAGCTGTGGGCTTGAAGTGGATGTTTGGTAATGATAAAGCATTGCTTTTTTAGCAGACTCTTGACAAGTTCAGGGTGGAGAATAATAAATCCTGTGGTTGCCTAGCCCCATCCCCTGCTCAGTTCAGTGTTTATATCTGCAAGAAAGCATAGAATGAGTAAAGATAACAGGGTTCACTCACTTGCTGCCTTATGTAAATTGACCCTAAAGACTGGCAATCCAGGGAGCCTGCCTCCTAGGCCGTGCTGTATTATCATAGTGTTCCAGAGTCAAAGGAGGCCTTGAAGCTTGTCCTCACCCTCCATCTCATAGACAAAGCTCCCCCTTAAATACATGCCCGATTCTCAACCTTTCTACAAAATTCTGCCTTAAAAATAGACAATTGCCATGAAGTACAGAATGAATTTATAAAATACTTTTTGAAACTGTTTATGTGGGTTTCCTGAATGTCCATCAAAAAATTACTCTATATTTTTAATCACTGAACAATGAAACTAACATGAATAATTTGTTAATCATGAATTTAATAAAACCAAAGGTTTGATTAAAAAATCAGAAAAATTTAAAAATTGAAACTACAGTATAAATAACTAATATTTTATCCATAGTAGGCAATACTAAACAAAATGAGAATTTTAAAAAATTCAATGATTTGACTTTTCTATTATTTAATTACTTCTGTTGATCAGAAAATCAAATTACTGAAAATTACCAATCAGTAAAATTTTTGTTACCTCTTGTTTTGTATAATTACATGCATAGTCGGTGTGGTTTTCCATTAAGCAATAAAGTATTTGGTGAAAGTACCACTAACCTCTATGCGAAAGCAGTTTTTCAAATGATTCACCCCATTTCACTGCTTCTTCAGGGGAGACTCTGTACAAGAAACAAAATGTTTTATAATGGACTACGCAGAAAGTCTGTTTCTGAATCTGTTCTAACATATGCTATTGTACTGCCCTTTTCAATCATATTTCACAGTTTCTCCTTTGATTATAATATAACGAAAGTTGTATTTACATTAGAAACTTTGAAAAGTTCAGTTTTCTTTTGGAATTTGTCTGTTGAATAATGTGCTAAAATAACATTAATATTTTCTCATAGATATGTGAGTTGTTTTATTTTTTAATTAAAAATTAATCCTTTGTTAGGTTAAAAGGCACAGAGAACAAATATAAAGAAATCAGGTCAACTATCTCTTTAAATTCAGCAGTAGGAAAAACTAAATCAACAGTATCTTTCAGTTAAAAAAAAAGATTATACTGCAATTTCCTTGAAGCTCTTACCACACTAGGCTACAAATTTTTTTAAAGAGATACAGGAAGTTTGACTAATAAAGTTTCAAAGGGATAAGAAATATAAGATATTTTAACACAAGAAATATTTTAGAGATATTGATAATGTGGAGAATTGAATATATTTTCTTGGATCTTTTTTAGATTATACTCAAATTTAGAAGAATTTGTATGAAACTAGTGTATAAGGCTTTTGCTTTTTTTCTGAATTAAATAAATGCTAAATATTAAAAGACATTATTTATTTGTGCTTTACTTGCTATAATGGGGGTGTTTTTTTTCAAACTACTGAGGAAAGAGATGAATATTCTTCACTATGACAATATTGCATTGCGAAAATCTTAAATTAATGAGTATTTTATCAGGTTATAAGGAGTAAAATATATCCTTTAAAACTGACAGGTATGTAATTTTAAAAGAGCAGCTTTAAGTGTTCATAGTATTATTGAATTGAAGTGGTAATTCAAGTGGTTTAATTTTATGAAATATTTCTAGTTTCTTCAAGTGAAATTTCTAAATTTCTTCATATTTCTGTGCAATTTCCAATAACATAGAAATACCTAATTGAACTTTTCTTAACTCTTTAATGATAGAATCAGCAAATTCTTCCTTAAAACACTGAACGTTTATTCACCTTGTTTCTTTGGCCAAGTGCCCAGATCTACTGGAGTGGGTATCTTCATGAAACTCAAGTTTCTGCACAAGAAGACTTAGTCTATTTCTTTTTTCCTTAGCTCTGTAATAAAAAGGCCCCAGCGTCAGGACAATTTAGATGACAGTTAAAATCTCTCCTGCTGACTACCAGGAAAGTTTGGAATTCGTAAACACCCATTCCCACCTATTCCCACCCCGACACACTCATGATCCCATTTAAGTACTATATTTATGGAGGAAGTAGGGTAACATATGGAAATGTTTCTCTTTTTGCTGCCCAACAATCAAGTATTTGAGGTTATATTTCAATAAAGATTGTACTAGTTCCTTTGTGAAGCTAAAATTGTTCCTTTTTTTTTTAAATGAAAACACTTTAGATTTAACAGTTAGTTGTTTACTCCTAAGAAATAAAAAGGTATTTTCCACCAATTATGACAATATGATCAATATATTTTCAACCCAATAGTTTAAAAACAAGTGGTAATGAATATTCAACCTCAATTATACTTTTAAAAATATAAGGCTAACTTAAAATTTTATAATTTTACCTGATTTTGGCTTCTTTGCTTGTTTCTTCTTTTCCTGAACCATGCATTAACTTGAAAAAAGTTTTTTCTTTTGATTCACACATATTTAATTGAGAAAAGAAAAGCAATGTTGTTCCCATCTTCTTTCTAAAATGAAGAAATGTCTAATTTATTACATCCTTCTCTATTTCACTTGTTAATGCTATTCCATATGTATACATAGTAGAATAAAAAGTTATCACAACTCTTTCAGTAATGTTTACAAAAAACAAGTCGAGAGCTGTGTTTCTTTCTGCCTCTGTAGAAATGCAGAACTGAGGAAATGAAGCACAATTTGGTCCTGAGTTGTTTAGGGAAATGATACCACAAATTTGCAAAATGGCTCTTGTCTCCAAGATAAAGACTAGTATTACCACAGCGCAACTTCTCGTTCAAGTTTGTGCAACCAGAATGATGCTTTAATAGACCCAAATAACACTGTCATTTCCCACAGGAACTTTTCAAAAAGTTTTAAAACATGTGGACTACGTGTTAAAATGTGTTATGGGAAAATATTACATCAAACATTAGGAGATATTTTCCCCAGTTCTTAAAAAAGTATTTTTCTTATGGTTATTCTTACATAAGTAAATCACATTTAATTGATATGAGATTATGCAATGTTAATTATGTTGGCTCAACATATTGTAAAAAAATAAGACAATAGATCAGAATTTTATGGTTAAAAAAGATAGGAGAAAGCATTTAGTTCAATAGTTTTAGGCTGGGCACAGTAACTCATGCCTGTAATCCTAGCATTTTGAGAGGCCAAGGTGGTCAGATTGCCTGAACTCAGGAGTTTAAGACCAGCCTGGGGAACATGGTGAGACCCCATCTCTACTAAAAATACAAACAATTACCCTGGCATGGTGGTGTGCAGCTATAATCCCCTCAGGAGGCGGAGCCACGAGAGTCAGTTGAGCCTGGGAGTCGTAGGTTGCAGTGAGCTGAGATCATGCTTGTTACTTTATTCCAGCCTGGGCAGCAGAGCATGACTCTGTCTCAAACAAGCAAGCAAGCAAACAAACAAACAAATAAATAAAGTTTTAAGCAAAGATTCATATAATGATTTTAGATTTTCTTTGAATTTTTATCAGTCTGTGAAGAAATGGAGAAAAATAATATGAAAAGATTTTTTTTCTTACAGCTTTATTTTAATTCTTTTGATATAAAGGACTTTGCTATTTTGAATTTGCTCTCCTGACTTTTTTGTTGTTAAAGTGTTCTTTATAATGTAAAAATGTTCTTTATAATGAAATGGATTAAGTAGAGATGGTAGTTTTTATATTTTTTAATTCCCTTGTTTTAAAAAAAAATGTTGACAACTCCAACATTTTCACCAGAAATAATTCTAGGTTGATTTTTCTTTTCTTTAGGACTTTGAAAGATGTTACATTTTTGTTTTCTGACCTCCATTGTTTCTGTTGAGAAATCAGTGCTAGTTTTCTATATTTTAATATGTCTTTCTTCTTCTGTGGCTACTTTTCAAATGTTTTTATATCTGTTTTTAAAACTTTGATTAAGATATAAATGGTATTTGTTCTACTTGAAATTTGCTGAGCTTCCTGATCTTGTGGGCTTTCGTATTTATTGAAGTTGAAAAATTTAAAGCACTAGTTCTCCCTTTTTTGCTTCTCTATCTCCTATCTTCAGACATTCCCTAAAATATTTTTGACTTAACACTGTTCCACTGGTCACTAAGCAACTATTCCATTTTTTCAGCCCCTTTTCTGTCTCTTTCTCAGGTTAGACAGTTTCAATTCCTATGTCTTCAAGTTCATTAATCTTTTCTTCTCTAATCGCTAGTCTGCTGTTAAACTCATATAGTAAAATATTCATTTCAGCTGCATAAGTTCCATTTTTATAGTTTGCATTTCTGTCCTTATACTCTTGTTGGTTTCATATTCAAATGCTTAAAAATATTTATAATAGCTGTTTTGAAGCCTGTTCTGAAAATTCATCTTTAATTCTGGGTCTGCTCTTATTGAGTGATTTTTCTACTAATGATGGCGTATTTTCCTGCTTCTTCAGATTTCTAATAACTTTTTCTTGGATGCTAGGCATTTTGAATTTTATGATGTTAAATATCAGGATTATTTTAGTCTCCGTTTAATGATGATGAAGTTGGTTGAACCAGCAATCATTTGTGTATCATCTTTGTCTTAAAGACCTGTGTTTAAATTTGCTATACTGGATCTAGAGTAGTTTTAGTTAGTAAGGTATAATGATTCTTAAATCTCTAATGCATTCTCAGGGGTTCAATAAGGCTTTTCTACTCTGGATGATGGGAACGTAAAAGCACCTGAACCCTGTATGAGCTCTGTAAATTAACGCACATCCCTGGCGGTAATCCTTTGTCAGTACTCACGCAGTTTTATTTTTCATCAGAGCTGCTTGGTATTCAGCTAGACTCAAAAGGACTCTAATGTAGTAGTTTTAGACTTTTTAAAAGTATTTTGTCTTGTAAATTTCAGGCCCCTCACTCTTCTTGAATTTAGGTAATTGTTTCCTCAACTTAAATTAGTGTTTTTGCTCTATTTAAAGAGTACCCCTTAAACTCAACTTCTAAATTCTAAATTTGAGATTTGTGTTCTCTCCCTGCACTGCAGTCTTTAAAGAAAGGTAGGGCTTACTTTGCATGTCTGTCTTTTGTTACAGATCACAGTTCTCTATGCTGTTTATTTTCAGTGGCTAAAAACCACTGTATTGTGTATTTTTACAGTTTTCAAGCTGTTTATGGCAGAAAGGGATGTATCAGTTAATCATAATAATCAGGTCATCTTTAAACATATATAATATGCATATACAGTTTTTGTATATGAATATTATACTCTGTTACCTGAATTCCATTATTACTGTTATTGTTGAATAAATCTATCATAGTTTTAAAATTAATTTTTTAATATTTCTCAATAGATAATTAGATTAAACTAATAAGTATTAGTTTTAACAACCTTTCTAGTTAACATAACTTTATTTTTGTAGTTTAATATCATTGGTTTACCACTTGAGTACAGTAAATTAATAGTTGGAATCCTTGTCTTCTTTTCCTTGGCATTAGGAGAAAGTAAGGCTAATTAAAATGAGGCTAGGTTTCAGATTTATGTTTTGTGTATGTGTGGATTTATATAGTTATGTTCCTTATTCTCTTATAGCATCGCATAGAATTTGCCCTTTATACATTGCTATTATTTTCATGTGAAATTAGTTTTCCTGTACTTTTTAGAATACGGCATATTTCAAGAAAGCTTTTTTAGCTTTAATTAATTTGAGTTTAGTAATCACAATGGTGGTAGTGCTAGTAATCTAAAAATAATTTAAAAATGAATAATTAGTGGCAGCTCTGATTTATCATATTCTGTGTCCTTGAGAAAAATAATTCTTAATATGGAATAAGGGACATGAAAATGCAAATGCAATAGAGAATAGTTTAGTTTAAAGCACTTTAGTCTTGGAAATTTGACTGCAAGTATCAATGTGAACAGAAAATTGCTGCTGTGTGGGTCACTGTTTCTCATCTTTTATAGTGGAGAGATCTGGGGTATATATAATTCCTGCCTGGAAGTATTTTCTACTCTTTTCCACTATAAATTCCTAGAAACAATGACTAATGCAGCAGCAATAAGACCTAGATTGTGGTCTTGAAATGTCACTTCTCACTCCCAGAAAACTAGATTTGCTCAAGACATCACTGATTCCAGGTCTCAGACAGGAAACAGGCAGGTGGAGCCTAGCAAATATTGTCATGTCAGTTAGCAAATAAGCTGTCAAAGACTGATTGATTTAAAAAATTATTCAGGAATTTGGTGGGGTTTCCACTAACCAAAATGACAGCATTTGAACTTCAATAATTTTAATAATTGCAATGAATTGATCAGATCAAACTTATTTATATCTATAAGTACATAATGATATCAAAAAAGAATTGCCTACTTTCAGATTATCAATAGAACCGAATCCATTGTTATTAAAATTGTTTAGGATAGGTGAAAAAGTAAGCAGGTAGCCTGCATTTTTCTATTAACTCTATATGGGTAACAAAATACTGGATGAGATAATTTTTTTAATAAAAATATTCTAACAAACACATAAAAATAAAATAATTTCATTAGAATCTCATAATTTTAACCCCTAACAGATGATTAAACTTAGGTATTGTGATTCAATGGCTGTTAAGATCACATAAAGACATGGCAAAATTACGTGCTTTTTGTAGCCTTGCTATACCCTACTTACAGGTTTTTAAAAAGACCAAAGTACGATTCATTCTCTGGACCCAGCTGCCAATGAGTAGAAATGGCAGGACAGGAGACAGAAGATCACGTTGAGCTGCACCATAAATATGCAGTCAGCAGAGCTCAGACCGTGGGGGCAACTGCAGCACAGTTCTTCAACACATACATTTTGTAAGAAAGAGAAACAGATTAAAATTAGAGGGAAATAGAATTGTCTTGTGGATTCAGTGAAAAACGTAAACCTTTGAACCAAATAAATATAGCTTTACAAATAAAGGACTAATTGCCTAATGAGTTCTGCCTGAAAGTGTGAATGACCTATCAAGCATGAAAATCAGCATAAATATTTTACTAGATATTTTGAGAATAAATTTGATAAAAAGCATGAGGTAAGGGAATATGAAAAGAATTTATATACCAGAAATCAACCAAGATTTGTTTTTCACAGTTATCCCCAAACTACTCTCAATCATAGTAATTTAATTATTATTATTTTTTTTAACACACCAACACTGCAAATCCTGGATCACACTTGTCTTCCTAAATTTATAATACTCCAACAGTGTTTCACCATGTTGGTCAGGCTAGTCTCGAACTCCTGACCTCAAATGATCGGCCCACCGTGGCCTACCAAAGTGCTGGGATTACAGGAGTGAGCCACCACACCCAGCCATATCTTTTTAAAATGCCAGTTGATCATGTTAAAATAAAAATACTCCTACTACTGAGAGTAATAGGAATGAATAAAATATTACAGAAACCAAATTTATTCTCTTTCTGTAATGCAGAGGTGAAAAGGACACACACATTCCTCACATCACCCAGTGAAAATGTTAAATATTATTTGTTAAGGTAGCTCACAGGCAGAGAAGCAGCAAAGCACATATTTTCTTTCACACTTGCATTATTCCAATCAGAAAGCTTGTCACGGGCATGAGTGTGCATGACACATCATAAAAGGCTCCAGGAGAGCGACCTCACCTCATCCACTCAACATCTTTATAAGGAAAGAAGGAGAGAAAGCGTCTGTGTACAATGGGAGTGTCCCGGACAAGGCAATGACTTATTAAGAAAGGGAGAACTAGAGTTCACTGCGAGGTTGGTGCGAAAGTCATTGTGATCTTTGTCATTACTTTCACAC